ATTAATGGAAGTAGCAGCATCCAGTAAAGCGATAGACAAACTAGAACCAAACCTCAAGGGACAAGTTAAACATTTTGGAAAAATAGACTCAATCACTTTCTTGCCAAGAATTAAATAAGATTAATAGCACTCCCACGTCTGTATGATATATATCGAGCTACATCCCGAAGCGTGCTAACTAAGTTCAGCACAGAGACTGGAAACAGCTTGTGTGGATCTCATACCAGTTACAGATGTCCGCCTTCTTCCTAATGGAACTACGGGGCAGTATTTCCCTGTTTGGTTACTGCATGAGCCTGCCCATCACATGCCCTGTAGATTACCCTCATTCTGTAGTGACGTTTATACGACCGACGTCGCCAAAACTACAAGTTTGGGGGAAAAATCGGCACTTTTGGATGTTGGGGTGAACTGTCTCTTTAAATCCCACCAGGCGACATGGTGAGCATCAAATGACATTCAGATCAAGTTAAAGCGATCAGCCGCTGAACCTGTGGAGCAGCTGAAATAAAAGGTCATACGATGAACATATTTGTAACGTTATATGTTCTTCAAGGTGTTTTCTAAAAACGGCAATTTAATTTGAGTACTTCATTGACAAAAAAAGTCCACACAAGGATAAAAATGGCTCGCCCAAAGCTTCTATAGCGTACTAATCAGCCCTGAGCTCGTAGCACCTGATTAACCCATCTAACAGTGTCTGTACTGTGACATCTGTCTGGTTTACATCTCAAGAAGGAAACCAAAACGACTGGAGCCATCCTTCTCATCCCCGAGCTCAGTCTCCCTCCCGCTGGTGTCTTTCCTTCACACACATCCTGCACCACCGTCCAATAAAAGTGTGCAAACGCTTCGCTTACAATCAGTCTTCTGGTTCATTGAGGCGTTCACTACTCTGGCCAGATCTTTATCCTTCTCTGTCTATCTCTGCTGGTTTTGATGAAAAGATTAAGGGAAGAAGAATGATTTCACTGGCTTTGCCTCTGTCTCCCGTCGTCTTTGAACCAGGCTGAATTTGTGCTCAACAGATTGGATCCAGCACCACCAATCTCCCTGTGAAAATGTTGAAAATGTTATGTAATACTAGTGTTATTTGTTTCCAATTAAAAGTAGTCTTAAATCACCATTCATGCCTTTTTTTGGATGCCTTTTAAGCTGCAGCGCACACAATGTGTCGTAACTACAGAGGTTTTTACGAGTGTTGACGTGCCTGAGAAGGCCCGCATTTCGTGGCACGCAAATCCCTCGCCCTCCCTGAACCGTGGCCTTTCTGGCTTTTTGGTTTGATTAAAGGCATTTCTGTTCCAGTGAGTCAGTATGGCCAATGTAAGGATGGACCCACGTGACCAGTGCAGGCCGCACAGCTAGTCGCTGCTTGTCCTGCTCAGTGAAATGAGAATGGTCTCTTCTACTTTGTAAGGTTTACTTATTTTCTCATGTTTATTGTGCCTTTCTTAGTTTCAGCACATCAGCACCCTAATGTCTGCACCGGTGGTTTTAAAGCTCCCCCTGATCTGCCGGATCAGCAGTCTCTCTCTCTCTCTCTCTCTCTGCGTTGCAGCACTCCTCAATTTACAACTGAAGAACTGCCCTCGTAACGTGAGAGACGCACATCTAATGACTCATCTGTGACGTCCGAGTGACAGACATGAATCTTCCGTCCAGCAACTTCGGGATAAGAAGGAAACACTCTCTGAGTGAGTTACGGACTGCCGCTGGCTCAGGAGTAGAAAACAATCAACACAAAAGATTGCGTGCAGCTAAAAAGCCTGCCAGAGGAAAGCTCAGAAGGCACACAGCAAAAAAAATTGCACCTGTGGAAAGGCACACCCCTCTCCTTAAGGGTCAAACTTTGACGTTTTGTGTGGAAAAAAAAGTAAGTAAACGTAAAAGCACATAAACCTTTATGCGGATACGTTTACCTAAATTAAACAAACAGGATTAATGTGACTTCATGACGTTAAGCAGCAGGTAATGTTGGAGGTGAACTCTAAACGCGTGCACTGGGTCACTCCAGTGATATGCAGACTGGGACTGCCTGCACTGGTGAGATTCAAACTCTGCTGATGCAGCTCAGATTTTTCTTTTTAGCATTCCTCTAAGGGGACTAATGGTTAGTTTGCTTTAACGCTGGACGCACACACACACACACACAGTCACATTCCTGCTGAACGCCGTTTGAGGGTTACTGATGTTCAAACAATAATCAAATTCAGTGAGACATTTATTTCTGAAGTGCAAATGTTTCTTTCAGTCAAAAACTGAGAGCCTTGCTGGTTTCAGTATGAATTAGTAGATGAGTCTGTGTTCCAGTAAGCAAATCTCTTCAATAACACTAAAAGCTGAGTCAGTCAAAAAGCATAAACGGAAAACAAAGAGTGAAAAATTCGTCTGGAAGGTAGAAAAGTGAAAGTAATCACGGACGAGACAGAATTACAAGGTGGGATTGAACTAAAGCAATATTTCCCATCCTTGTTTTGGGGAAATTTGCAGAAACTTCTTCTGCGTTGATTAGAAGAAATAAAATTGAATTCAGTTTGCAGCTCAAGGCCTCCCGCCTGTTTACGGCAAGCTCCAAGTATAATAAAAAACAACTGGGAAGCAGTTCGCCATGACGTGGTAGAGATCGGTGCACAGAACAAAAGCCCTCTACTCAAACTAATCTACTGCAAATTTTGCAACAACGGTTTTTAAGAGAGAGAAAGTTTTGAGAATTAAAGCCAGAGGCTGTTTTGCACCGGAAAACGCATCTGTCAATGGTTACATTAATTAGTGGAATATTGCCATTAGCCATAAAAGCAGCAGAGAAGGAATATTGCAGCTACTGAAGGGTGAAAATGTTTTACATGTCAATTCGTTCAGTTTGAAAAGAGCACTTGTCCTAATAATAACTACGGGCGGAGTTGCAATTTAGCTTTGCCACTTCTGTACGATTTGGAAAATTGTCCCCTGGCATTTGGCAAAGCTGTAAGAGGGGGGGGGGGGGATGGGAACAGTGAACACAGTCTTAAACGGCATTAATGCGCCCAGTGTTTCTAGTGTACATCAGGCTGCACAATATGCTGCACAAGTCCACAGTTTATAATCGGGGGTCTTAATTATTGATCACTTATTATTTTGAGCATTATCTTGCGGTCCTATTTTTCCATCACAGAACAAACAAAAGTAAGTACGAAAGCAGAAACGCTATATTTTCAGCAGGCAGCCAAACGGAGGAGAAGCACTGAACAAGGAGAGTGAAAATCCATTTCTCAAGCTAACAATGGGTCTTACATGGAACCAATTGTTCCTGCTGTATAACACACCTGATGCCCTGCGGCGGGTTAGCAACACCACACACACTGTGCAGCATTAGCTTCACGGCTAACAATCCCAGCTGGCCACCACGGTTATTCTCGCTTATGTCAACACGGGGAAACCCAAATGCAAACCTGCCCCTTGCAAAGATAACATATCGAGAAGGGACCCCCAAGATGTGTGTGATGTGTCTCAGCCCTGAAACACGGCAGGGGGGGGGGGGGGAAGCCTCCAGTAGCTCCTTGTGGTATTATAGAAAAGGAGACCGGACATTCACAGTGATCCACTGTGGATCGCCCATGCTACTTAGAGGACCGGGGTTACGCAAGTGACCTGCTGGTTTCTGCTGAGATTTACCGCAGCGAGAGGCACTTAGCTGGTGCAGCCTGTGGCAGCTGACGCCAAGGAGAGGAGAAGCCAAGAGACACACTCCTCCCCCCGGCTCCTGCAAAATGAAAGGTACCGTTGCTGAAGATATTTGAAATAAGGATAGGAATTCAGTGCAACTTTTTTGTTGGGGGGGAAGATGAAGCCTCGGGCGATGGTAAATCACGGTTGCAATTTATAAGCAGGTGATCCAAAACAGGCGCCGGCATGTAAGAGGTGAAGCTATATGGCCCTCCGTGGGAACATTGGAAGCAAGATGATGTCCCAGTGATAAGAATGAGCGGACTCAGGTGCATAAAGTGAGCTCATAATAACTTTGTTGCCCCCTGACCTTTCCTCTGCTGGACGTAAACACTGTCTTCATTCATGCACATAAAGCGTAGTAAGATCTGTTGAGCGAGGAGCACAAATACATGTTTACTTTTCCTATAGACTGTCATTTGGATTTGATTCAAGCATTTTTACCGTTTTTTTTCCGACTGAGATGTGAAATAGTCCACACAATTACATTTGACCATTAACCTGCTACCCTTAAGAGAAATGTTGTAGTTTCCTATATTAATCTGTTTCGAGAAAACACAAAAGCAAACACTATAAAATCGTTTGCCCCTGCAAAGCCACTAACTGATGTGAGATCAGTTTCCTGCCAAGTGCTGCATCCGTGCTGCACTCTGAATTAATGCCAAATCAAAACCCCTCAAGTGTGGCTCTAGAGAATATGACACCTGTGAGTGACGCCGTATGCAAACGCCTCTGGATGTGTGCGTGGAAATGACTCACAGGCACTCAGAGGGATGAAATCTGAGCGCCGGGCGGACCCGCAGCGGGGGGGCGCAGCAGATCCACAGCAGCCACGAACCCGTTCACCATACAGCAGTTATGCTGATATGCGCATTTTTAAATGCATTTTTTTTTTATGCGTATTGGCTACAATATGTGAGAGGCAATCTTACAAATTCTGAAGAAAACAAAACGAAGAAGAAAAAAATCCCTAATTAAAAAAAAAAATCTAAAGTATTTTCAGCTGTTCTTTTTGATGCGGAAAATTAGCGCCACTTGGCGCAGCTCTAAGATCCCACCCCTATTAAAGATAGCACAATAGTAGATGGAAACCTGGTCTCTAAACTGTGTGCTGCATTTTAATAGAACCCTGCGTATTGTTGCGAAACTGATACATTCAATCACGAAGAAAGAAAAAAGTTAAAAATAAAAGACTTATGGGAACATTTTTACTGTGCTTAAACATTTCGTCTCGGTTCATAAAAACACGCAACTTTATTTTGGTAAAAGTGAACTGCAGAATCCAGCCTACTCACCTATCAAAATAAAGATGGAGAGATAAGTGTTTTTAATATAATCCATGGCTCCCGTTTTTTCGGCACGGTCGACAGAGAGTCCGAGTCCCGAATAGTTGACGGCACCTTCAGCTCCTCATTCAGTCGCTCACAAACAGCCTCCTGAAACACACGCTACGCGCACTCACGCGCTCCTCCGGACACTGAAGTGGTTCCTCCAAGTTGCGCACAGTTGCTCATTGTGGGGATGCTGATGCTGCTGCAGCTCCCAGTGACGACAGCGCCCCCCCCCCCCTCCCCCCGGCCTCCCTCCCCCTCCTCCCCCCTCACACACACACACACACACGCACACACACACACCCTCTTTCCCCCTGGGTGAGCCAACAATACTTCTGGACCTAAAGACATTTATTTTCCCTTCTTGCCAGTTTCGGCAAAGTCACGTTTTAATCGTTAGTTCACAGAGAACTTCCGTGGTGGAGGAATGAATAGGAGCATTTAGCCCAATCAATTAAAAGTATTAGATCAGAAATTCATGGACACTATTATAATAAGAATTAACCAGTGGCAAAATTGGATTTCTGGGATTTATATTTAATCTTGGTTTAGATGTTGATGCAGATGTATTTTATTAAATGATTCAGAGCCCTCCTTATTATTTTCAAGCAATACATTTCTGCTTTTGTAGGATGTTTTTTTATTGATTATTAAGCAAATTAGTGAATCCACATCAAGCAGAATTTGAGATGTTTTCTCATGACTTTCTAGTGCTCATCACTCATCATCCAGACGGCTTTTCACTGCAGATTTGCAGAGGAACAATAGATGTGAGGGTGTCCAAGAAGAATATTAATTTTCTTCTTTCAAGGTCTATGTCCATTATGAAAGCACCGCCACATATTCTCAGGGATTGAGGGTCACGCTCTTAAAGACTCCAAGTGAAGAGAGGTTTAGTTCTCTTCTCTCGCGATGGAGAATAATGAAAGAAGGGCCTCCAGGCTCCTTCAAAAGCCAGTCATGACATTATTAAAGAAACACAGACTGTTAAAAGCAGAGCAAATGTCTGTCGCGAACCACCAGCTTCCTAATATAATAATAATAATAATACTGGGTTTAAACCTGTTTGCTTTAAGAATGACTTTAATCTTTGATGGTACTGGTAATGGGATATCTTTCGATATATGCTCCAAAGGTTGTACATCCATAAAGCATAACTTCTGTTACTCCACAAACATCCAAAAGAAGCTCCAAAGGGTTTAGACGTGTTGTGGTGGTGAGGCCACATGAGTACAGTGAGTGTTCAAGAAACCAGATTAAGCCACGTCATCCTGTCGGAAGCGTTTACTAAAACGGGTACAGCGTGGTCATAATGGGATGAGCATAAACCGGGTGCTAAAATTCAAAATGACCAATTTTCTACATCGAACATTGTGGCGGGGAATTCCCCAAGTTCGCATTACAGCTCGACTGGAGAAAATCATCTTATTGTGAACATGGAAGCTTATCAAAACTAAGAAGTCCAGCCATCTCCTGTTCATCAGTGCCTTATTGTCAGAATCACTTCCTAAATTCAATCACAGGATTTCTAGGTAAAATACAATAATAAACAGAACTAAATATTATTATGTTATACATTATGTAGACGTGAATGAAAACATTGTCAAGGAGAAAAATAAAAGATAACACAGATTTGTGTCAATCAATCAAGTGTCAGAGAGCAGCAATGTGTGATTCTCCTCTTGGACTCAAACATGTAAAGCAGCTGTATGATCAACACATTTCATCATAATAACGGATCTGTAACTGTGACTGACACGGAACAGGAAAGACAAAAAAAAAACAGAAAGACATCAAACGGGGAGCGAGCTCAAAATATTTAACACCGTGAAAAAAGGCTGAGATCAAGAACAGGAAGGGGCGAGGAGTAGGCGAGGAATCAGAGACATGCAGGCGTGACATACGTCATCTGCTGTTGACTACCGTGGGGAAATGGAAAGCATCTGGAGCAGGTCAGGTGTGTTTGTCGGAGGGAAAGCGCGCCTGGCTGGAACAGGTGAGTACGGAGAGCCAGACGTGAGCAAGGGAGGGAGTGGCTTTCTTTAAAGTCCTCTATACTCTGACGCCTTATCAACGCGTGTCTTCATGAGTGGAGGAAACTAATCTGTGAGGACCATCTGAAGGTCCTCCGCTCAGGCGGCTGGGTTTTCTTATACTTTGCTTTCGTCGTGGGCGTCTAATGGTTTTACTCGTCGCAGTCCCTCTTTCCCTACACAGCTGAAGTCCTCAAGAATTATGACACCAGCTGTTGTCTCCTTCTCCCCACGTTGCCCTGACCTTTGTTTGAACACCACGCACAGGCTACCATCTCTCTGGATGGCCTCAAAATCGAATCGTGTGATTCAATTAGAAGAACCTCATTACTTTGAATCACCTGCAGAAGTAAAGCTTCGTCTTAGGTCTCATTATGAGACATTTGTGTGAACAGTCTGGTTTGTTGGGAGATCAAGCCCATACGTTTTTGTTCCATAAGATGATCTGACAGCTCTCATAAAATACAGAATTTATAAAGGCGATTTTTGATCTTTTGTTGTGTAATGTTTAATTTCTGCCGGTGTTAAAGGGTTGATTCAAGCGCCGCTGTTACATTTTTATTTGTCTGTTCTACTAAAACAAGGGTTACTGATTAGCTGGTTAGGATTTTTCGGGATTTCTGTAAACACAGCTCGTTATTTTGGGAATATTCTGACCATCTGTGCATTTGAAAAAGAAACACTGATCGAAACAGGCATTATTTGTCAAACACGTCGCCTGCTTTCGTTTAAGCGTAAAGTTATTCTCCACATGTGGATGCCTGTGAACGGATACTTTGATTGCAAAGCTGCCCCCAAATAACTGTGTACCACAGTAGTTCAAGTGACTTTAAGACATTAACTTGAGTCATTCAGAAATACCTTTGACCTTGGTTCCTGATAATGCAGGTTGCTTTAACGTCCAATATCCATGACGTTATTTACGAGTAAACATTTGTGGAGACGATCAAATGGGCTCAACGTAGTCGCTTTAGAAAGGTGGCCAGTGTCGGGCGTTCGATATGGCCTAACTGCTCAAAACAACACTGACTGCGGGGAAATAAATGTACTACCTGTGGGCGTTTTTGGAACATTTTTATCCACCATTTCTGGATAGTTTCATTGCGTATTTGCTTCTGCTCTGCTGCAAATCAAAACATGTGATAAAAAGTAATGGAGGGTAAAATAAAAGGTCACAAACTAATGAGGATAACCTTCAGAGCCGCATGTGTTTCCTATTTAAAATGATTAAACATTTACAAAATGCAAAGCTTCTTCTGGGACTTTATCAGCTAACAGAAAGATGCACTGACAGATGCCGTCACGCAGCAAATTGTTAGTTTAATAGATAAGAAATCCAAAGTTACACGGGACTGTTTCCGAACATCTTCAACATGTCAAGAAGTTTTTTTTTCCATTTGTTGTGTTCCAAGTAAATGGCGATTGAGATCAGAATAATTTCTTACATCTCTCCACTCGTTCTCCGTTTCTCTTGCTGCCTCATGGGTCCGACCTTTGGGAACAGAGAGCAGATTAAAAGGAGTATATCAGGTTCCTTTTCTGGACGCGTTTAACCAGCAACCAAATCCAAGGCGATAGATCACATTGTCCTGATTGATTTCATCTCAAAGCCAGTTCATTTAAACTCATATGGGGACATGAACGTAGCTTCAACCCTGTGTGAGAGGGAAAAAAGGTTTTGGAAAGTCAATTTTTTTTTTAATTTTCAGTAAATATTGGACATTATTCCAAACATTTTTTGGGGGTTTACATATCTTGGCACAAAAGCAAAATCTTTGACTGAGAATTTTATCTGAAGCAGATTTTTGAAAACTGTTGGTGAAGCGCAAACAAAGAGGGAATGTGATGACAAATGGAAAATTCTTGAACGGTCAAGGAGATGAAATGAGTTTAAAAAGAAATAGGGAAGAAAATGTTAGAGGTAATAAAGAAAATTGGCGGATAAAAGAACATAAACAACAACAAAAAACGTCTCGTTGTGAATTTAATAATGAAATATCAAAAGCCAGTATTGGGCTATGAATTAAAACATAAAGAAGACATTTAGGCCTGCACTAATCTGTTTAATGACATTAGATAAAGTTGCCAAATAAGGACAGACAGGGAAATCTCCCAGAAACAAAACAGACAAACTTGTTGTTTTCTCCTGAGGGGAAAGGAGGAAACGAGAACACTGAGAGAGAGAAAGAATCCGCCACGTGGCAGCTTGAACTGTCTTCTTCACAGTCGGTGCACGACAAAGTAACATCTTCCCAACCTGTATCACATTAAAGTGTGTTATTGGGTCGTCCAGATGGGTTTTCATCAGGAGTTGGTAATAAAATACTATTTATCGCCGGTGCCTAGTAGAAACTGCGGCTTTTGTGTTGACGTTTCTTTTAGTGATCGTTAGCGATGCCACTGTGATGACCTCAAAGAAGGAAAGATGTTGGTTCGTGCAGGTTTCGGTTCTGGTACAAAATCCCCAAACGTGACTTCACATGAAAAACAGCTGAGCTGAGCAGAAAAGTAACACAAAAACGTATGAGTGGTGGGAACCTTCGAAAAGGAGTCATTGCCCCTTGTTTTTAAGCCTTGTCATAGAAAAGAAATATTTTAGGTCCAATAAATAACATCGTTTTTTCTTTAAATTCAATTTCCTACTAATATTTTTAAAAGGGAAATCAGTTTGGAACCTTTATGTTGATTGCCAGTCAGTGTTGGGAAGTCAATTAAAGCAATAAATAGAGGCGATGTCTTGAACAACGCTTCCTGGTACTTGTATAGTAGACACTGTCAAAAGTGGCCAAACATTGTCTTAATATATATTAGTTTCAAATCATATTTCCAAACTGAAAGCGACGCAAACGAGCGCGAGCAACCAAAATGGTTTTGATTGCATTGTGTTCTGATGAAATGTCCTGATGGTTCCCTGACTGGGACGTACCTCTACTCCATAGATTGTCCCCAATCATCTTCTCTTCATTTAAGTGACTGGGCTTCACTTTTCAGACGCAGAGGTTTCAACGTGCAGTTTTGTCTTCAGGAGTTCTATTCCTGCTGCAGCCGGTTGGGTGTAAAAGACGGTAAATGATCTCTAATCTCCTGGCACTCACCAACAGCAGGAAAGAAAAACCACTCAGAGGCAACGACCGATGCTCGGGTAGAGTTGTCGAGGACCGAAACGAACGCAGCGACAGTCCAAACCGGCAGCTTTATTGACCTTAAAGGAGGCTCCGGCACGAGCTCAAAGTGGCCTGCTTAACACAGCCAGCTTCAAATCAAGGACGCTGCAGGCAGATAATGAAGGAGCTGGAGAATAATGAGGGAGGGAGACAGAGGGACGCATACTCGATGGCCATTAGGCTGTCGCTTGCATGTTTTGCAATTTCTCTCCAAGTTGCCCGTTGGGGATTTTCTTTAGTACTAAAAGAGTCATCTCTGGCAAGAATCCCCTCGTGAAAGACCACGGATTGTGATTCAAGCACGTCTACATGGACGATTGTGACAAGGAACAATTAATGGACTGTTTCTATACATCGTATCTGTGTCAGCATTACATTAAATTCATTATTTGTTGATCTTTTGTTCCAGAGGAATCACACACGGAGGTAGCAATATATATATGAGGTAGCAATATATACGCACATATAAATAGTAATGTATTGTGTTGCCTTTTTAATACCACAACTAACAAATGACAAGGTAAACACACCTGTTGTTGGCGATTCTGGTCTTGTGTTGGGTTAGGTTCGATCTTTATCTCCTGACGTGGCCTCCCTGCAGACCTGAAACTACTATCTCCTGTTTACCTGATAAACAAAACGGACAAAGGTTACTTTGTGTTCAATAGGAAACTCACCTCTTTGAGATATTGGCTGAAAAACAAGTCGAATACGCTTCCTGACCTATTATTAGAACAAACAGCTCCATTAAAACATCGATGGAGCTCCATGTAGGCGCCTCTGTTTCATTTAAGCTTTTTCCAGCCACACCAGAATAGTTCGCTGCACGATTGAGGCACAATACTTAAAAATGTTTACTTCAAATGGTTTTAAAAGCCAAACTTTTAATTTAAATTAAGTAAAAGGACAATTGATGATGAATAAATGTGGACTTGTTTCTTGGAGTAATGATAAAAACCTACATGACTTTTTACATATATAAGTAGCAATTACTTAATTACTTAAAAAACAAAAGGGACAAATATAAAATGTGATTTAGGGTCTGACCGTTTTCTTTTCAATTAATCAAAGGCATAATTTTTCCTCACAATGGACGCAGTTAATTTATTAAAAGTTAATCTTGTGTTTGTGTGTAGTTAATATTAATGTGTTTTAAAGGGCTATTAACTGTTAAAATAAAAACATTTGAAAAAGCTCAATAGAGTTCAGCTGTGAAGACGATTAGAGTTGTAATTCTCAATGTTGCTGAAAATAAAAACTACATGTTTCTATTTTCAAAATGTCAAAGAATGTAAAAAAATCCCTGCATAAACACGTCCCCTCCTGCAGCCGGCATTTCTATAACAGGTTTAACCAATGTTCTCCTTGAACAAACCAAGCAGATGTGTTCTCATGTGTTCCCTCATTCTAACCCCCAAACAAAATCATATCCTAAACTTAACCAAGCAGTTATTTTTGCATGCACTCTTGTGCTGCTGGACCCTACAAACCATTGTTTGAGGATACATTGAGCTACCAGCATTTATCCTCGTTTAGCAAAAACTTGGAAGGAAGGTGTTCTTAAACACGATGTGTGTTTCATGTAACTCGAGAAAGCAAATAAGCACATTTCTCCGTTTCTCCAGTCCATTTTTGCAAATGTATGTATAGAATCAAAGAATGCAGATTTTCTAGCAACAGCAGAGCCCAAAGACTGCCGAGAAACTGCTTCAGGAATGCCGACGCTCTGTGATCCGTCCCTTAAAGGCAGAAATGAGGTAATGAGGATGATTAAAACAGCTTTGAATGAAGGGACCTTCACCCCGCCGACCTCGGACCAAGCTCCAGGATTTGGCTTTTGAACAGAGCAGAATCAGCTAAAAATCTGATCAAAGAAGCAACTGATGATTCATCTGATGAGTCAACACAAACTTTACTATGAGAGTGTGTGTGTGTGTGTGTGTGTGTGTGCGTAGCAGTCATTACAATTATTGGCAGATATGTTAAGCCCTGCTTGGCGAAGTGGCCTCATAGCTCAAAACTCATTGAACTTTATTTAAGCCTTCGTATATGTTATATATACGTCATATGTTTGGCCTATTGGCCTGTTCAGCAGGATATGCTACGCCACACCTTTGCGCAATTCCCTGTGTGGTGCAACGAGCTACAGACATGATACTTTGCACCATAAGAATGTGTGAGCATGAAGGTGGTGCTGTCAAGTGAGAATGGTAAAAGACTCCCCTCCCATTGACTTTAACATGTAAAGACATTTACAAATCTGTTTGCTTTCAAATAAACCTCTTGGACAATAAAGATAACATTTCTAAGATGAGTGAGCGAAGCGAGTAAAATCACCGCCGTCCGTAAAATAAACTGTACTGTACTACGGTTGTCTTTGAGCAATCCAACTCAGTGAATCAGTCCTGAGAATTTGCACCGAGGAGCCACAGTTGAGAGTTGGAGTGAAGTGCTGCATACCTTGAAATGATCAATGAGGCGTCCGACTGGCCTCACTCCTCAAGACAGACTGAAAGCAGCTGAGGGGGCTTCGCCTCGGCTTAGTGAAGAAATAAACACTTCCGCTGCCTGCAGTCTTCATATTGGCAAAGACAAGAAAGCTGTAGTTCTAACTTACATGACTTGAGGACACGGTATACTGTCCCCTCCTTGCCAACTATCTAATGGACAATCTGCTTTCGCTATCTTATTTTTAACTAATGATATTTACAAGATCTTTGCAAGGGTTCCTCCTCCATTTTTCACCAACTCTCTTATCATCCATCGATTTAATACAACAGTAACACCCACATGTCTGAGCATTTTTAAAGTCCAAATCAGTATTGACCCAAACACTAAGCAGCAAACATCTGCCCTGGACTCCAGATGTACGGTATCTGCATCGCAAAACACAGGAGACGAAAGAAACCCCAGGAAATGCATCCGTCTGCTGCTCCTGGTTAGTCTGACAGGTGAAGCCCAACAAACACCTGCACGCAGAAGCTACGCAGAAACTACGCCTCGCTGCGTCGGCTGCATGTCAGGAGGTGGGGAGAAAAACACCCTGCTCCTCTGCCATGCTGCTGCACCTGCGGCGGATTTATTAAAATCATTTATTTGAATGCATTATTCACGTGAGCCAGACAGTAATACACAGCTGGTGTTATAAAAGTCAATGTGAATCTTTTCTATTGACGTGTCATTGTCAAACGCGCCTTGGAGGACGATGGATGAGCACGGGGATAAATGAGCCCAGCGCTGCTCTTCTTCAGGCCCGTCGCTCCACTCAGTCCGGAGATTTCTCGCCCTGCAATAATTTATGATCACTTTATTTTTTTGGCAAAATGAACAGCAAAGACATTCCTGCTGAGAATAACTCAAGCCAAAAGAAAATTGGACTCTACCGATATCTCCTCTTGTCCTCCCATGACCTGGTGTAGTAGATCTGAATTGAGTAAATGAAATGTCTTTGTGGGACGTGGACGGCATCGACAAGCTCATCATCAGCTTTCTAGTAAAAAAGATGAGGTTAAACATCTAAATGTTCTGGTTGCGGCTCTGGAGCTCTTAATGTCAGCTCGCTGGCATCCCGTTTGCTGTCTGAGCACGTCAGAGGGTGATGTCATTGCAGGTCGCTGTCTTTCATTTTTGTTCGCCGAAAGACACAAAAGCGGAGGTCGAGGTGGGGCGCGAGGAAAGGAACGCCCAAGTCGGTCGGCCCAAGAAAGCCCGGAGCAATTAGTTGGTTGCCACTTTTTAGTCTTGAAGAAAAACTGACCGTTTAGACTACAAGCAGATCTGTATTTGGATGGCGTCTCCTGAGCAGCACCAGAATAAACCCCAGTGGACTACAGACTCCGCTGACACTACGATCGACAGCCCCAAACGCTGACGGGTGGAAATCCCGAGTGGGATTTGTGTGAGAGCAGCAGATGGCAAAGCGGGTGAGAAATAAACTGCAGGCCCGAGCATGAAAAAGAATCGCCTCCCTGACTGATCTTACACTCGAGCGTCATTACAATCCTCCCACAGCGTCGGGCCGGTCAGCATTCCCCCTCCTATGCAACAGGTGCCTTTTTTTCCAAATGCACAGGCAAAAAAATCACACTTGCGAATCTTAGCCGAGAATTGTTTCATGTGACTGAGATGAGCAAAACCCTTGGAAACAAAAAAAAACAAAGATGTGTTGGACCTCTGCACACGTGGGATGACGACAAAGCGCCACGCGCACACTACACGTACACACCCACACACACACAAACTGGAATAACGAGGTTCGACCTACCAGCTAGATGTGGACGTGTGGACGGGACTCACACGTCTGGAGTATTAAACATCAATCTGAGCTTCAGTGGTAAATCGACAACAGCTGGATCGGGGAGTACAGATTTCCCCGCAGCATGAGCTGCCAGTAGCAGCCGAGCTGGAGAGCTGCGCGCCTGGTGTGCAGCCAGACGGGGACCTGATGTCTCCTTGTGTGTTTTGTCATGCATCCATATGCGAGACAAACCCCAGAGTCAGATGAAGAAAAAGCTTTTTGACGGTATTCACAGGGCCAATTTTACATCGGGACATTGATTGAGGGTTAAGTGATGATTGTTTTGAGGAATACCGCATCTACAAAATGACCGTTTGTTTTATTGCATACCGCCGAGGTAAACGGGTTTATCCAATCGTTTGCATGCTTTTAAATGGTACACTCTCATGCTTTTGTGCGTGCATGACACCTCTGGGGCTTTTTCAAAGAGTCCAAACACATGTTAATAATGATGTCATCAGAGTGACCTCAACCACATATTGAAATCAGAAAGCAGAAACTGGAGGTGTGGAGTTTGAATCAGGGATTCTTGACAATTTTTTAAAATGTAACTCTCCAGTGCAAAAGTCCTCACTCAGTCAACCGTGTCCTTTGGATGTTTCCAAATGTCTGCCTCCACACACACATCCACAGACACATCCATAGACATACACACATCCACAGACACACAGACACACAAAGTGGGTCATTAACTGGTTCGACTTAATCCTAAAGTCTGATCATGCTGCACTTCCTGCTCACTCACAGACACACACACACACAATCAATATGTCTCTGTGTTTGAAAGTGTGTGTGTGTGTGTGTTGGTGTGTTAAATCACACTGTGTGTGAAATAATTAACACAATGCTGCTCTTTAAAAGGAATCACTTAAATATTGGCGGTTTTAATGTGTTTAAAAGCGCACACACACACACACTCAGCACTCTAATTAATTAGTGTGCACTGACTTTCACACTTTGAACTCCCATTTTGTCGCGTCATTGCTGTCCTCATTGTAGGTTAATGGCTGTTAATGGGAACGCTTAACTCCATTTAGGTGGATGTTAACGTGCTTTTAATGCTCTCACGTAAACAGGCTGTTTGACACATCGCTGAGGGGACGAAAACGGATTTTCCCTCTTATGATACTTTTCGTTTCACCTGAACGCATTTTATCGTCGCCATTTTGTGTGTGTGTGTGCGGGATTTTTTTGAGCGTATGATCCCAATTTCTTTTACTCACACTTTTAGATTGGTTGGTGTCATTTACTGTTGAATTAAAGATACATTCTCTGCTCCAAATCATTTTTTAGCTGATTTCATCACATATTTAATTGAATATATGGCTAGGTTTATACATATATATGAATGTATATATACATATATATTGAATGCATTCAGGCGTTGTGAATCAGAATTAGAGCAATTTTGACCAATTTTTTAAAAACACATTAAAAATAAAAAGTTTCCTTTTAAAGTTAAGATCAAGAAATTTCATATTTCAATTGAAATAAGTGAAATCACAACTCATTCCTAAAGGGAAAGATTTCAGCACTGTGAACTCAGTTGTGTTCAAGTTTCAACTTTGAGTTTTCAGCAGCTGCTCAAATGCTTGAGTGTCTTCTTTCCTCCCGAACCGCCTGCCTTTCATGCCGGGACACGCGGCCCCCTCAGCTACGCACATCTCGGGCCCCGATCGAGATGCGCGGTCCCTCGTTAGCCGGCCATTAAATATTTAACATTCCTCCGACTAAGGAGAAAGATGAGAGAGCGGACAAGAAGGAAAGTGAAGTGAACCTGACATGAACACGCTTTCACCACACAAGCGAGGGGTTTGATGGCGTCAGTTATTAGAAAAACAAAGCATTATTTGTGTAAATGCAGACTTTGATGAACATGTTATGTTCTCCTTTGGTCTCCTTTATACTTTTTAATGAATGGTCCAGGGAGACCATCTCATTGAAGTTTGTACCACACTCACACGGACGAACCAGCTCCCTGAAATTAAGATTAATAAATTCAGTGTGTTCTCTTTCTTTTTTTCAAGCATTATGGACGCTTGGTGGTAGTTGATCTATACTATAAATACATCTTTTGTGTGATGCACTTCATGTAGTTGATTTACATGCTACACACACACATACACACACGTAACCAAACATCAGCTCAATCAAATTCAAGCCTGCTGAGTTTTTTAATCAACACGCGCAATACATTTTTAAAAGTTTCGTACCAGCTGCTTTGTGAACTTCTCTCTCTTCTAGTTTTTCAATCTGCTCTGAGTAGCCGGGGCCTGAAGGCCGGCTTTGTTAGCGGGACATCGTGAGAGCATCATGTCCCCCCCTCTAATATAATCAGTTTCAGTGAATTACAGAAGCGCCTAATGGAATCAGGACCTGGTGACACTCATTTAGTCCACTTATGTTCCTGCATGTCTGCGACTTTAGAGAGTTGGAACAAAGAGTGACAGCTGTCGAAACAGCATCTCTTCCTGGTGAGACGGGGGAATTACAGCGGGGGCTTTTATTCTGAAGGGATGTCTGAGCAAAAGAAAAAAATGATCTCCATCCAAAAATGTCAAATTCTTACTGAGGATCTCTCATCCTTACTGAAGGCTCCATCTTAAAGTATAATAATCTGTCCAGAGTCGCAAGCAGTTCAAGCGAATTCAGCTCAATTTTGTCATTTTACTGATTTATTCACAATGCAAATCAAAACCCTCAGAGAAAGAGGAATGTCTGTTAAAACCCGAGACCAAAAATAAAAAGAGACCCTAAAAGCGACTGTCGCGTCCGGTCAAGGCCCCTCCAACCTTTGAAGATGCTCTGCACGGGATTCTTTGCCTGATGAAGACGCAACATCAGTCATTAATCATCTTGAAAGCCCACTTTGATGTGGAAAAGCAAAAAGAATACAGTTAAGGCAGTTGTGGTTAAAGGCACAGCAACCTGAACCTCTTATGTCAGAACGGGTTAAATGTGTCTGTAAACGCGCCTGTGTTTCTTATTATCACAAAGAACTTTTGAGCCTCGTTCTTTTAGACATTGATGGGTTTTTTTGGATTGCAGTCACTTCAAACCACGTCTACTAACACTTTGAGATCTGGGCGGAATATTTGATGTGTTCAAAAAGAGAGTGGGACGTTTTCTTTGAATCAGCACGTTCGTGGTCAAACTCATGTGGGAGCAGCTCGGCTGTATTCATGTTTAATTCCTTGACTTCTCTGATACTCTACAACCGAAATGAAACGACTCAAATGAAAGAGCCGCAGCAGATTGAGGCAATTAACGGCAACAGTTTTTTGGTCTTCGCTATGAGTTGTTTTGGAAATATTACAACTGCATCATGTTTGTATT